TGGTTTCACAGCACGGTGACGGAGAGGTTGAATAAACGTTCCCAGCGACACCTGCAGAGAGTGTGTTGGTGATTCTGTGCATTGGAGCGTTTACATTTTTACTCATTTCCTCATTTTTAAACGACTTTCATTTTGTATGATGTCAGAAGACTCGTCTGTCTCTGCTCAGAAGACTCGTCTGTCTCTGCTCAGAAGACTCGTCTGTCTCTGCTCAGAGGACTCGTCTGTCTGACGGTCCTCTCTAACTGGTGTCCAACCTGCTTTTATTGACGCTCTTTGTCTCCTGATTTCAGTTTTGTTCTGTGGAGTTTCTGTGAGTTGTAAATGTTTCTGCAGGTTTGGAGACGCAGAGATCAGATCCTGAATCCTAATGAACATGTGGCGGGGGGGAGGGAGGGGGCACCGACAAGGCTTCCATTGTTTCAGAGCAGAGAGAGATGGAGAGATGGAGGGAGAGAAACACCACAGCGTGACCCAGCGAGCCACGAGGACAAAGACAAACATGAGCAGCGTGACACAAAGAACAAACCTCACTGCTGACATGTTTGTCTCTCTGACTCATCCAAAAACACACGTTTAACACAGCAAGGCATCATCATCATCATCATCATCACCATCACCACCTGGATGTGAAGCAACTGCAGTCACATGACACATTGTTTGGGTTAAACATGAGCATGTTACAGTCCTGGAGGATTATTAATGTGCACCTCCTCCTGTACTGCCTTAATATGCACATTCAGCACATCCAATGCATCAAAACATTGTTTTCTAGTTGGAGCCGCGCCTCGTTTTCAAACTGTATGGTTTGACTAAAATGAACAATGACAGCAATATAGTTCACGATGAGCAGCGCTAAAATCAACCTGCGTAGTTGTCCCTCCAATGTGACATTAGAAAGTGTCACATTTATCTTGCAAGTGTACTCTTCTTCAACGTTTGCTTTACTTCCTGGATTTTTCCCACATGGAAATTCTGACCAATCAAGAGCAGCTTTCTCACACAAGGCATTTGATCTGGTCCGCTTGTAAATGCTGCCGTGAGAACACGAACCAACATCAGTCCCTGATTCAGACCAAAGGAGACGACTCTAGGTCTGACAGCAGCTGATCCAACAGCCTCCATCAGTCCTCCTTCATGAAGGTAATAATGTTCAGGTTTGTTGAAATCGTGTTAGAGGATCTGATCGGACTGTACGAGGTTTTTAATGTTCAGTGATGTTGAGTTGGGTTGGGAACCGGAGGGTTGCCTGTTCAAGTCTCCGTCTGGACCAAATATGGAGCGTGGACTGGTGGCTGGAGAGGTGCCAGCTCACCTCCTGGGCACTGTCGAGGTGCCCCTGAGCAAGGCACCAAACCCCCCCAACCGCCCAGGGCGCCTGTCATGGGCAGCCCCTTCACTCTGATCTCTCTCCACTTAGTGCATGTATAGGTCAGAGATTAATGAAGTATATAAAATCAAAAACTTGTCACAGCTCACAGTGGAGCCTTCAGCAGGAGTGGAGCTGTTTGAGGGATGTTTGGATGGAGAAACACACACACACACACACACACACACACACACACACACACACACACACAGAGGCGCTGGCTCTTAAACTAACACAATAGAGAGTTACATCAGATCCTGTGGAGCTTTTAGAAAAGTTCATTCGAGCTCAACGTCTCTCTCAGAAAACACAGAATAATAAAACAGCTGTGAGAGAATTCAGGATGTTCAGCTTCATCATGATGTCACAGCTCTGAGCTTTATGTTGATGTGATGTCACAGCGTCAGCTCTCAGGAAACTGATAAACAGACTCTGTGATCATCATGTTATTACAGGGTTAATGTTCATGGTTTATTTCACTCGCCCAGTTGGGAGATCTACTCGCCTGAGGTCAGTTTTTATTCGTCCCTACAGACTGTTTCATTGCTATTCTGTCGCTATGGCAACAGCTTTGGTCTGTGTTTACTTCCTGTCAGATTTTTTAGTTAGATATTTTTTGGGGCATTTTTGCCTTTAATCGATAGGAAAGCTGAGTGTGAAAGGGAGAGGGAGAGAGAGAGGGGACGATACGCAGCAAAGGGCCACAGGCCGGAGTCGAACCCGGCCGCTGCGGCAACAGCCCTGCACGTGGGGCGCCTGCTCCATCCACCAAGCCACCGACGCCCCAGATTTTACAGTTTCTACGTCAGTGATGGCGTTAACCAACAGTCCAACAGGAAACATGGACCCATTTAAAATGTTAATGTTGTCATATTTGAAACGGTCTCTACAAATGTTTTTATATGTCCGCGCCAGCGACAGTCGTGACTGGTGGTTTTCAGATTGTCATTTTGTCCCATTCATAATAAAGCACTGTTATAATAAAGTTACATGGCTCGCTTCGGACAGGAGCTGTTGATGTTTTGTTGTGAACTGAAGCTTCCTGTCAACAGTTAGCAGTTAGCAGTCAGCACAAAGTTAAACTTTTACTGCGGCACCTTTAAACATGATGATTTATTCACTGTGAGCTGGAAACAAACGAACAGCTCTACAGGTATTATATTAATATTTGTGAATCACACTGGTGCTCCATGGTCACAAATGTGACTGTGAGTTGCTATTTGAAGCCTCATAGGAACAAAAACACCACACCTGCTCAAACTATTGTTAAACTCAAGGTGACAGCAGCGCTGTTAAACATGGATGATTTATTCACTGTGAGCTGAAAACTAACAGCTCTACAGGTTATATATTAATATCTGTGAATCACACTGGTGCTCCATGGTCACAAAATAGTGGTGGTTTGAAGCTGTGATATAAAAACACGCCTTGCCTGCTCACAGAGGAGAGAATGAAGTGAGGTTCATACCAGTGGCTTAAAAAATGACAAGACCATTTACACTTGATGTTCGTGATAAAGTCATTTTATATATCTCACGTGGAATAAACTGTGATACGAGTTTATCTGATCAACTCAATGTCACCCAGCTCTAAGATTAACTATTAGCTCTCACTGCTCATATACCTGACTGTATGTGTGTCAGTTTCAGTTGTTACTATATGAGATGTTACTATGGTACTGTAGTGTGTGTGTGTGTGTGTGTGTGTGTGTGTAGTTATGAAACCAGGTTCTGCACCGCTGACTGAAACCACACCTGTACCGACCGCAATGTTTCTTCTAATAAAGACAGACTGAGTTGGCTTTCACGGTTCACTTCATGTTCACTTCACATGCAGGTCATGCTCACGTGGTCGAGCGCTGGGAGCTGTTTTTAGTTTTTGGGTTTTTTTGTACGAGGGTACGACTGCCAGCAGGACGAGATGTGCTTCTCATCCACACCACTGCACAGTCGTCCTGCCAGCGGTCTCCATGGAGACGCTCCTGTTCAGCGGCTCGAGGAGAACATTTCCCCTCCATCGCGCCCATTGTACCTTTTTCAAGAGCTCTCCTCTCGGCCTGTTCTGGAATCTGAACCCTGGACAGATTTTTAGTTTCCTCAAAGAGAAGTTTTTTTCTTTTCACATTTGTTCTGACAGTATTCATGTCGTCACACACAGGGAGAATACACCATCAGCATTTATAAAAACTGTGTGTGTGTGGTGTTCACTGTTGGCTCGGTGTGTCAAGTCGGACACTGTGTGTTCAGGATGAGAAGAAGACTTCAGACCTTTATTTATTTTCCTCCTGTTTCTTCTCTCTCATGTGTTTCACATATTTACCAACAGTAAATAAAGTATTATCTGACACCACGTTCTAATACACACGACTTTGATCACAGTTTATCATTTCAATACGCTGTTTACTAAAAACCCTGCTGCTGTTTATCCTTTCGATCTGGTAATATTACACATGTATGAATATCTCTATATCATGTGGACTGTGTCACACTGCTCAAACTGCACACAGATACAACCACAGGGCAGTAATTCTAGTTTACAACCTGGTGACCCAGAAGTTGTTCTTTTGATAAGCTCATAACTCATGGATAAAGAATGAGATGATGATTTAGTTTTATTGATAAAGTCATTAGTTATGACTTATAAACCTTCTGTTAAAGGAGACTCATTAGAAAGTTGAAACCTCTAATTTAAAAAGAAACTAGAGTAACCACCTCGTGGTCGTCGGCCTCCGCCAACCACTCAGGTTACAGTTTATATCCACGTCTGTTCAGACTCATATGAAGAAGCCATGATGGAGGACAAACAATTCTTTAAATATGGACGTTACTGCAAAGAAGCTTCAAACTCTGAAACATGGATGCTTCACAGATCTGCAGTTTCAGTTCAGTATCTGACCAAATGTCTCCCCTTCTGCTCCGCAGATATGACATTAAAACATGATGATGTCACAGTCAAGCTGACCTTTGACCTTTTGGCCTTCGTTATTTTATCCTATTAGACATTTGTGTGAAGTTTGGTCAGAATTAGTGCATGAATTCTTCAGTTATGGACAAAAACATGTTTTGTGGGTTTATTCATGAGTCCATGTGGACGTTTGTGTCAAATTTGAAGAAATTCAAGTTGTTAATGAGATACACGTTCACGAGAATGAGACAGATGAACAACCCAAAACATGATTCCTCCAGCTGCAGCTTAGCCGGCGTGAAGGCACAGAAAAAGTTTTGTGTTGTTTTCTATCCTCCTCTTTGAGCGGTGACTCTCAAACTGAGAATCAGGACAACAACAACAAACTGTTTCAGACTTTTCTCTTCTCAGTTTTTTATGGTTAAATACCGAACAGTGTTTCCTCCTCAGGTCTCTGAAAACTCTTCAAAAGGTTAAATTAAAGTGAAATAAACAACTTATAGAAGTATTAAAGTGCTTTAGTATAAAGGGACAAGATTTAAAAAGGTGTGGACCCTCTGACGTACATGTTACTGAGGGAAACTGTTTTATCTGTGTCTTCCTCCTGTTGGACGGTTTCTCTACAAACAGAAGCTTCAAAGAAAAACAAACAGACTCACCTGAGCTGATGATGATGATGATGATGATGATGATGATGATGATGATGTTGTGCTCCGCCTCCTCTCAGGTGACGGGTAACTTCGACCGTCAGGACTTCAACAAAATGTGCTGGACGTTGTCCTCGAGGAAGAACCTGGATCAAAGCAAGCTGCTCATCTCCAACGACGACGCCTTCAAGATCTGGTGTATCTTCAACTTCCTGTCTGAGGACAGATACCCGCTGACCATCGTCACTGAGGAGGTGAGTGTCAAAGGAGACGTTCAAGGAGACGGTATCATCAGGACAAGCTGGTATCAGACTCTTCTGCAGTGCTGGGATGTAACTAAGTACATTTACTCAGGTGCTGCACTGAAGTACACATTTGGAGTGTTTTCATGCCACTTCATAGTTATACTCTATTACATCTCAACACAACACCAGACTAGTGCTTCATTGTTTTATATAAATACTTTACTGTTCTTCAGTTTGTGAACACAGCGTCATGTAAAAGTTTCAGGCCTCCTGGTCAAAGTTTGTTTACTGTGAGTAGTTCAGTGAGTCGAAGATGAACTGATCTCCAAAATATATGTAGTCAATGATGAAACATTTCTTCAATATTTTAATCAAGACTTTTTAATTTCATTTTTTACAATCTCAAAATAACAAAAAAAATAAAAAGGGCCTGAAGCCAAAGTTTGCGCCCCTGCATGATCGGTGCTCAGTAGCGCCCCCTGTTTGTATCCAGCTCAGAGTCTTTTACAGTTCTTGTTTGAAGGATTTCTTCTTGGGCCGTCTGCTGTTTGAGCTCTATCCACAGATGTTTAATGATGTTTCGGTCGGGGGACTATGAGGGGCGCGGCCTAACCTTCAGCTAACTCCTCTTGAGGTCGTCCATTGTGGATTTGGAGTGTGTTACGGATCATTGTCCTCTCTTCATCTTCAGCTTTTTTACAGATGCTGTCATGTCTGGAATTTAACTGAATCCATTCTTCATCTACCTGTGAAATGTTCCCCATGTCACTGGAGCATCATCCATCCACCCCCGTCTGTAACAGGTGGACAGGTGTCCCTTTAGCCCCTTTTACACTGCCAGATTTTCGGAGAATGTTGGGCCGTTTTGCCGGCAAGCTGCGAGCGTTTAGACACACAGAGCCGGACTGGCGAGTTGATCCGAGGTGCCCAATTTTCCGCCTCGTACAGTAGTCATATTGGCGGAACCCTTTTAGTTTAAACAGACCGAGGCGGCCTTCTGCAACAAGAGGGGCTGTTGAAGACTTGTGGGAGAAGCTGTTGATGACACCGCACGCATGACCCACTGGTGGTGGATAAACAGGAAACAGCTGATAGCAGGAATTAGCGAGCAGCTAGTAGCAAGAGGGAAACACAAACCTGACAGACACTGTAAAGATGAGCAACTGGGGAGACAAGGAATTGCGCGCCCTCCTTGAACTCGCAAACAAAAAAGCCATTAACAGAAAGATGACGGGGACGATAAAGAACAAGCCAACTTAAGAGAGAATCGCAGAAGGACTGACCAGCTGCGGCTTCCCTCCCACGTCACTGTTTAAGTCACATGCTGAGCTACACGTTTTGTTACTTGCTCACGCCCCCCATTGCCCCGAAAAAGGCGCATTCTGTATAAACAAAAGTAGGCAGGCGGCATTTTGCTGAAACTTGTAAATGATTCATATAAAAACTTATATGTTTTATCTTAATCACAGTATTTTATAAATCTAATTATTTGGCAGGGGACACATTGGAAAGTGTAAATGATGAGGTTTCTGTCTGATAAAAACTCGTGGAGACATTAATCTAAATATATGACATATTCATCTAAATCATGCCGAGCTCTGCCGGCGCAGGTCTCACTAAAGAGGCCCCGCCTTCACCCAGCAAATTGTGTGCAAAGAATTGTGGGGATTTTATACCTGCTGAGGATCCACACATGCATCCTTGAAAATCCTCTGAGTGAAGGATTCTCTTTAGTAGAATTTGAAGGGTCTTTGTCATTGGAGCAGTCCTTAGGTGGGATTTGATGATGTAACGTCCTTAAAATTCAGCCGCTTAAGAATCCTTCCTTGACTTTGAGAAAGACCCAGAAGATTTATAAAGCTGTGAAATGTGCATCACCTGTCCTTTCCTAACGATGACTGTGAACGTGCATATTAAGGTCTGAGACTCTGGGAAATGTTGTCTCACAGCTCAGATGTCTCGGGGTGTCCAAACTTTTGGACGGTGCAACTTTAATTTTTTTTTTTGACTGTAAAATTGTAAAAACAAAAATAAATCACTGATCTTGATTAAAAGCCATGTTTCATCTTTAACGTCATGTCTTTTAGAGATCAGCTCATCTTCTGACTTTAGTACTTTAGTGTTGAACACTCTTCAACACTCTTGATGAAGGTCCAGTCGCACCGAAACATTAGTGTTACCAATAAATTATGAAGCTGAGCAGTGTGTGAGATTTTATGTTCAAAGACTCAGGTGATATTTTCCAACACACCTGAGACAGGTGGATGTGCGAATATCTTTCTTCAAACTCACAATGAATGAAATTTTGACCAGCTGGGCCCAAACCTTTACACGACACTGTATAAACATGTTGTTCCTCTGTTTTGTTCAATTTCCAGCAGCTTGACACGTTTGTGTTAAATGAGGAACTTTACAAGAGTAAAACTGTGGTTAATAAAAGCTTCTTGATTTTAGATTCAGCAGTATGTGATAAGAAAGTAAATGAGCCACAGAATCTGACGTCAGCATTCAGTAGTTTGATCCTCGGTCCAAACTGAGACAAGGACGATTATTGTTTTCTATAAAACTTTGTTTTTAATGCTGCTGAGAGACCACTGAAGCTCCAAACACTTCAATATTCAGATTATATTAAGAAAGTCTGATCTGGAGTCAGTTTTTTAAGCAGGAAAACAGATTTTTGTTCCATATTTAAGGGTCCTGATTGATCCACTATTAACTGGGTACTGACTTGTTTACTTGCAGCGTAACATGCCATTTATTTTCAGCAGTAACAGTCTGTAAGATCTTCACACTGAAAAGGTATTTCCTCTGAATCGGTTTGTTACTCATCAGAATTTGGGAAGTTATGAATGTAAATGTTTTTAATAGAATCAAAGTGACTTCCTGCTTCACTGTTGACTCATGTAAATGTCTTTTGTTCATTCAGGATGAATAGAGATCAACAGACACAAACTCTGAGCTGGGTTTGAGTCGTACTGTTGGTGCAGGAGGTACCTCACTGTTTAGTGTTGAGGGTTCAGTGTTCAATGTTCAGGGTTCAGTGTTCAGTGTTCAGGGTTCAGTGTTCAATGTTCAGGGTTCAGTGTTCAGGGTTCAATGTTCAGGGTTCAGTGTTGAGGGTTCAGTGTTCAATGTTCAGGGTTCAGTGTTCAGGGTTCAATGTTCAGGGTTCAATGTTCAGGGTTCAGGGTTCAATGTTCAGTGTTCAGTGTTCAGTATTCAGGGTTCAGTGTTCAGTGTTCAATGTTCAGGGTTCAGTGTTCAGGATTCAGTGTTCAATGTTCAGTGTTCAGTGTTCAGTATTCAGTGTTCAGTGTTCAGTGTTCAGTATTCAGGGTTCAGTGTTCAGGGTTCAGTGTTCAGTATTCAGTGTTCAGTATTCAGGGTTCGGAGTTCAGGGTTCGGAGTTCTTCACCAACTGACCAGTTAAAAAACGTTTGTTGCTCAACAGCACAACAGGAAGTTTCCAGCTTCCTGTTCTTTTACAAACACTGGAGGATTTATTGTGTGTAACAAACATCAGAGCTGAATCACAGGAAGACATTTAGATTTATGTTTAATCAGTTCATGGAGATAAAACACACAGACACTTATCTTCAGTTTAAATGAACAGTTATAACAAAAAATAGTTGATGCAAATCTCTTTGTTATTCTTCTGACTGTATGTGTGTGTGTGTGTGTGTGTGTGTGTGTGTTTGTTGTCTGTATCTGAGCACAGATTGAGTACTTCCTGCGTAAGTTGACGGAGGCGATGGGGGGCAGCTGGGTGGAGGAGCGTTTCGAGGACTACAAGCTGCAGCTGAACTCGAAGCAGCAGAGTCTGAACGCCTGGGAGCTCATCAGCCTGGTGGGCTCGGGTCACTTCAGTAAAGGCATGGACCGCCAGACGCTCTCCATGGGCATCAACGAGGTCTACCAGGAGCTCATCATGGACGTGCTCAAACAGGTGGGAACCTGCACAGAGTCATCATGACACAGCGTCTGTCAGGGAACGATCAGTGAGCTCCATCCTCTGATTAACTACAGCTGCAGAGCTTACACAGCTCGTACCAGAGCAGATACACGACTGAAACCAGTCTGTGGTTCTTACTCAGACATGGCGCCATAGAGCCACTACAGCGTCCAGTCCTTACACCACCTACCCAGAGCCAAACAGCAGCATCATGTGGCTCCAGTGTGTGATGTCAGACAGCATGATGACATCACAAGATCAAAAGAGGCGTGACATGTAACACAACAGCGTCATTCTCTAGTGTGACATAAAACATATGTGTCAGCAGCTCTTTATAAAAAAAACCAATGACATCACATGTCAATAACAATCATTTAGCGTCTCTGTTATATGGCGGCTGATCTCGTCCTCTGCTCGGAGGGTAAGGCGCTCCTGGACATCACTGTTTGAGTAAGCTGCTAACTGCTAACAGCTACTGTTCTTTTTTGAGTCAGCTGCTAACTGGCAACAGCTACTGTTCTTTTTTTGAGTCAGCTGCTAACTGCTAACAGCTGCTGTTCTTTTTTGAGTCAGCTGCTAACTGCGAACAGCTGCTGTTCTTTGAGTTAGCTGCTAACTGCTAACAGCTGCTGTTCTTCTTTGAGTTATCTGCTAACTGCTAACAGCTGCTGTTCTTCTTTGCGTCAGCTGCTAACTGCTACTGTTCTTCTTTTTTGAGTCAGCTGCTAACTGCTAACAGCTACTGTTCTTTTTTGAGTCAGCTGCTAACTGCTAACTGCTACTGTTCTTTTTTGAGTCAGCTGCTAACTGCTAACAGCTACTGTTCTTTTTTGAGTCAGCTGCTAACTGCTGCTGTTCTTTGAGTTAGCTGCTAACAGCTGCTGTTCTTCGAGTTATCTGCTAACTGCTAACTGCTACTGTTCTTCTTTTTTGAGTCAGCTGCTAACTGCTAACAGCTGCTGTTCTTCTTTGCGTTAGCTGCTAACTGCTGCTTTTTAAATCGCTCATCCTGCCGGCTGTCCGTTTTACACAGACCTTATTTGGGTGTTGTTACTGTCTCTGTTTGCGGCTCAGAGACGAGACGACTCGTTCATTCCGCGATTGTACCTTTAACACAGATCGGCGAGGCAGCGTAACGGCATGATAATCTCAGTATAAATGTTGCTTTTGATTTAACATAGATGGAAACAAAATAATCTGCAAACACTGGCACTCTCTGTAAACTTTACTCAAAGGTTCACTGATCGACTTCTTCCAGGGCTTTCAACCACATCTCATGGTCATCATCAGTGGAAGGATCTGGTTCAGGTGTGGAAGTTTGGATCACATGATAACAAACAGTCTGTGGATGTATGAGAAGGTTCCTGTTTCATCTGATCCTCAGTGTTCTGATGTTACTGAATCATTTCTGTCTGAAACTTCAGTTAAAGGAGAATCTGGTGTGGCTCTTGATTCTTCTACAAATCTATGAAATGAACAAAACCACTAACTAGTGTTTGAAGTCCAGCCTGATGTTTCCTTACACAGGAAGTGATGTCACTTCCACACAGTGAAACGTACAGATTATTAATCAAACACTGGTATCAGATCAGAACTCAGATGAATCCCAGGTATCTGTATCAGGACTAAACAGTCTGATCGATGTATTCCTGATGTTCCTTCACACATTATTCTGACTCGTTCCCACACGCACCGTCCTGCTGACACCAAATCACTACAGCACCCGCTCACTGTTTCCTCCTGTTTGAGTGACGCCTTACAAAATCAGTAATTATTTATTCCTAAAAACAAAAAATGAAACTGTTCATGAGCTGTTTTTAAAGATCTGTCCTCAGTGGGAACCAACGGGCTGAACGTCACAGACAGGAAGCTGCAGAGAGTTAACTGACGGACCAACACGTTTATTTTGGTCTTTTCATGATTTATTGACCATAAAAAAACAGAACATGAAACCAGTCTGATGTGTTTAAATGTTGCTAAAACGTCAAAGCTCCGTGTTGCATCTGACTGTGACGAGCAGGAAGTTTTGTTTAGTCGAGTCAGTTATTGAGGCATTAAATTATTTTGGGAGAAATAAAATGTAAAAGTGTTTTAATAAGTGTTAATAAACAGTTGAGCACAAACAGCCCTCTGCAAACATGCAATATATAAAAAAAAGGAAGTGGGAGTTTGTGGTGTGTGCGGCAGGTCTGCATGTTTTCATGTGAAACAGTGGCGTGAATGTGTGACTGCGGCCGTGTAGACACAGACATAAATATCATTGTCAAAGTGAGCAGAACAAATAACACAAAAGGTTAATATTTAATATCATTTATATAATCTGAGTCTGAAAATGATCATTATATAATGAGAGTTAATGTTCAGAGCAGCTGTTTCGTTTAAATCACCCTGATTCTCCTCCTCCTCCTCCTCCTCCTCCTCCTCTTCCCTGCAGGGCTACATGATGAAGAAAGGTCACAAGAGGAAGAACTGGACGGAGCGCTGGTTCCTGCTGAAGCCAAACTCCATATCTTACTACGTGGGCGAGGACCTGGCTGAGAAGAAAGGAGATATCTTATTGGATGGAAACTGCAGCGTGGAGGCAAGAACCTGTTGCTGTTTATCAATCTCTTCCTCCTGTTTGTCACCCTCCTCATCCTCAGGCTGATCTGATATCTGAGACCAGAGTGTAGAAAACATCAGCAGTATCACCTGTAACTGACACACAGATCTGAGCTTGATGTTCATGACATGTCGGTCAGATCATACGTGTTCACACAGTACAGAGATGTGATAATATGACGTCAGCTGACCAGGTGTAATCATTAATTGTTTATTAGGGTCCGATCAGGGTGGTGACTGATGGCGAGCCTGGAGTTGACATTATGTTGTTACAAGACATGTTGATTAACCATCTGAATATTGTCGTGTACTTTTCATGTTCGCTCATGTTTTCTATCTGTTGTTTTCCTGTGCAGCCACTTCAGGACAAAGAAGGAAAGAAATGTCTCTTTCTCATCAAGTCGTCACATAAAAGCTTTGAAATCAGCGCGTCGGACAAGAAGAAGAAGCAGGAGTGGATCCAGGGTGAGTGGTGATAATACGCAGTGATAAATCTGTGGCTGTTTCAACATGTGACTCATAATGTGTCTCCTTCATTTCCTCCATACTCCTCCATCATGGGCACCTGACCTTTTTTTTTGATGGTTAATGTTTAGTTTTCTCTGTAAAATCTGCTGATGAGACAAAATACATTTTATCTCAGTGGGACATTAAATCATGTTTAAATAGCCCTACATTAAATGTGTTATCATTCTTATAGACTTAACATGGGGTTGTCCCAAACACCTATTTTTGGGCATCGACGCTTCAGTGAGAAATATCTGCGATTAACTGCAGCTTTGGTCGGGGGTGGGGCTAAATGACAGACGAGGATGTCAGTCGATGCACCTAAAATAATGTCTCAAACTTCATTAGCATGCAGGTCGCAGTAACTTTAGCTGTAGCAGCTAGAAAAAATAAAACTTGCCCAGACGGCAGATTTATGACAGTTTTCAGGTAATTTTCAGAGCTCATCTGTGAGACATGTGTTTCCTTTGGTGTATCAGGAACTCAAATTCTGGGCGTCATATCACATATTTTGAAACTGTTTCAGACACTTAAAGTTTTCGATATCTTGTTAGCGTGTATGCAGCCTGTCACATGTCACATGGGATCAAACTGTCTGCAGCTTCAGTGGAGCTGCACGGCATTTAACTGACGTTAGACGAGAGCGAGTCGGAGTCACAAAACTATTTCTCAGTTTAAATGTCTGAGAGAAACTAAAAACATAAATGTTGTTGAGTAATCGAAGCTTTGAAGCTCTCAGGTCAGCTGCAGGTTTGACAAAGAGGTTCATTAGAAATTAAAGTTCAGGTTTTTCTTCCTCTGAAGAGACAAAGCAGAGCTTTAACTCACAATTATTTTCATCATTAGCAAATATGCAGATTATTTTAAATTAATCGTGTTTTATCAAATGTCAGAAAATAGTGAAATATGCACTTCATATGCAGAACACAAGTTCATGTCTTCATGTTGTTTTGTCTGATCAACACTGTGAAACCCAAAATGTTTAATTTAAAATCACATGTGACAAAGACGTTGAGAATATTTTGTATTTTTACATGAAAACAAGTTGATTATTTAAATACTCAGCAATTCTGTCGGTTGACTAATCACTAATCTATCAATAATCAATTTATTAATCAATAATCACCTCAGCTCTGATACAGGAGCCACTGCTGACAAGTTTTTTGTGTTTTCGTACATCCTGTCATCCTTAATGATCATTAATCCAGAGCTTCACTGATTATCTCCCTAACTGCAGTTTAATTTGGTGCACATGTGCCCACAGACATGATCTGAATGTGTTTATCTCTCTCAGCCATTCAGACCTGTGTGAACCTGCTGCGTCAGGGTCGGCCGGCGCCGCACCGCGAGGCTCGACAGAAGCGCCGGGAGCTGCGTCTGAAGCAGCAAGCTGAGCAGGAGGAGCTGGAGCTGAGGATGAGCGAGCTGCAGACGGCTAACGAGGCCAAACAACAGGAGCTGGAGAACATGCGGAAGGTGAGAACAGAAACAAACACATTAAACTGTGAATCAGGAAACGTCTGCTGCTTCATCACTTCCTCTTTGTAGTATCCTGAAATTTAAAATAGCTCAGTGTGGAAGTGTTTCTGTGACATGTGGAGTCGTCGTAATGAAATGATGATGAAGACCGGACCTGCAGTGTGAACCAGGTGTACACGTGAAACAGATTCTCCTCCGTCCAGTCTGACATTCAGAGATCTGAACCTCTGCACGATGATGTAACGTGCACCTGATTTTTATTTGGGCTCAAAAACAGAAGATGTGAATCAGTCGTAGAACTTCTCCTCATTATTAAACTGTGAAATACACTTTTAGATGAAAGAATTAAATTTAATGAATGAAGCCCAATTTCACAAATCACAGTTTGCATCAGAAGGTTTACAGCGTACGACCTCCCTCTGTCCTTTAAACCCTCACAGCTGATCAGGAAAAAACTCCCCCAAAAAACCTCAGAGGAGACACTGAGGAGAGACAGACGGACAACAGATGTTATGTGAACAGATCAACATAATAAAATTACAGTAATCAATAAAAGAAAAAGACTAAAACACATGCAGAAAGAGAAGAAGCTCATAAAAGATCCAACTCCAAAACAACCCCAGACAGACAGACAGACAGACAGACAGGCAGGCAGGCAGACATGCAGACAGCTGGAACAGCAATGAGAAATAGAGTTGTAAATATATATTTATATATATATATATATATATATATATATATATAAACACTTGAGAATATCATGTTTAGTGATTCTGGATTGATCCCCTAAAACCAAATCGATTTTCAGTTTTTTACATTTTTTAAATTAGTTTCTCTAAAAAATCCTGCAGCACTTTTATTTTATTTGTTACTGAGACAGAGAAGCAAAGTTTTCAAGCAAAATCTGATTTTCAAAAAAGCAATATACGGTATCACAATAAATAAAACATAACATATGTGTCATATCACCAGATTCTTTCTAACAAACAGCTCAATGAAACAACAGACCAGTTCAGTCAGTGAGTGGGACAGAGTGTGTGTGTTTGTGTGTGTGTGACTGAGCTCCTGCTGAGAGACAAAAAAAGAAGAAAAAACAACAACACATAAACAGGAAGTGATAAAGCCAAATGCAGACATCACTGTACAGTGGGTGCGACCGCTGTGCACCTGAAACACCAGAGGAAAAATTGAGAGCCAACCAGGAAGTAGTTCACTGGAATCTGTCTGTGAACGAAGGGCTTTCCCAACGAGGAAATTTCTCCACCTGAAGATAAGAAAATAAAGTTAAACAGGAGAGGAAGTCCCCGTCTGAGATCAAACATTAAGTGACCTGGACGAAGAAGACAAAAAAGAGACTGGATCATGGGGAGTACCACCAGTTGGTCCAGGAGCTTCTCCTCCATGATGGACGTTTACAGGCAGATTTTAGGATGACTCAGGGGCAGTTTGACAACCTGCTGTCTGACATCAAGCCGTATAGCTCTGGGTATCCAGCAACTGCTACCACCAGTTTCCCCTCCATTGTTTACCAACTGTAAACTTGTTGTCATGACCACCACAGAAGCCCCGCCTCTCACATCATCCCATTGGACAATGGGAAAAAGCAGAGATGACGAGGGGCGCTTTTCTGCTCTGAGTAGAAAAGAGTTGAAAGAAGTTTCATTCTCATAAAAACCATCACAAAAGCCGCCTCCAGCTGCTGAGACACTTACTGTGTGTTCAGAAGCAACTCAGACATGTTGCAGTGCGAAAAGGACATCATGTTCCAGACTATGTGTTTGTCTCGACTCGGCTGTTTGGATACGAAGTGTCTGTTCTGGTCTTATCAGGAAGTTTCCTCAGCTGGACAGTAAAGTCACCACACATCTCTGTTGTCTCTTAACTGTTGTTAGCTATCACTGACTCGATCCTTAAAGGTGATGTTTTGAATATGAGGTGTAAATGAGAGGGTGCTGTCCAGAATGACGCTGAGGCTCTTGACTTGGGAGGAGAAGGGTACAGGGAATCCGTTGATGATGAGGGGTGGAGCTGGGGTGTGTTGTGACTTGGTGAGGGTGGATTTGGCTCTGAACAAACCCTCCTGTTACTGAACATCGCTCAGATATTGTGTTTCACTGGGAAATTTGTCGCAGCACAGAAGCTGAAGACGCTCTGACTTCTGTTTCACAAAGACTTCAACATACTGAAATTAAAAATCGTCTTTACACAGACTGACTCGTTGCAGAGTGATATTTCTTATCAGGGTTCCTCCAGCTGAAGGCAACACAGAGTTAAGACTTGTTAGGACTTGTTTAATGTCAGTCACCGAGACATTTAAGACCAATTTTACAATAACAAGGGACCGACAGCTGACAGATGATGGATCATCTGCTGTGAACATCTCCGCTGGAAACAAAATCTGAGTGTGTCACTTCATCTGTTCTGACGTGGTGACGTCATTGTAGGAGGCATTCAATAAATGATTTTTGAAAATATATCACGTTATCAGTTCAGATCAGAGAAAAACGAAACACTTCTACTCCCATGTCTCAGCATTTTAGGACTTTGTAAGACTTTTAATGACACTCACAATAAAATTTAAGACTAATTTTGCGATAACCAAAACTGAAGGAAAAATAACACCAACAGACGGTGGATGTACGTCATGTGATGGAGGGTTTTCTTGGTGATTTTGTGTTTTTCAATCTACGCTTCATTCCACTGTCTTGATTCCACCGTGTAAAGAAAACCTCCTTATTTTTAGATCAGTGAATTCAGGGAACCCTGATGATGTTATTTTATTATAATTATTGATGCATTAATGCATTCATCACTTCGACGTTGTAGCTGATGAAGGTAGAGCTGATTTAACTCCTTCATATCCTGCTGAGTAGAGTCATCTGTAATATTCATCACATATTAGTTTACTTATATTTTGTAGGAATAATCTGAATCTGAAAAATAACTAGAAACTAAAACTCAAATAAATGTAGTATGAAGTAGAATATTTACATCTGAGAGTAGAAATATAAAGTACCATTGAATAAAAATATCTAAGTAAAGTTAAAGTACTTCCAAACTGTAGCCGAGTAAATCTACTTCTGTTCCACCGCTGTGTGATGTCATGAATTAAATCTTCTACTGAGCTCATTAAACCTGAACCTCAGAGGAAGGAACTCTGTTTTCCTCAAAGGAGGTACTGTAAACAGATATTTATAGTTCAGTTATCATCATCATCATCATCATCATCATCATCCTCACTGCAGGTACAGTCAGTTCTGCTGATGTCATCACAACATAAAGACTCAGAGCTGATTCAACAACATTCCTCTGAGACGATGTCACAGAGCGAGAGTGAAGTCTATTATCTGAGGAGCTGAATACACACACACACACACACACACACACACACACACACACAGTTAAAGTAGGTCACCTCACACTCTGCTGGGTCTCCTCTGAAACTCAGCAGCAGCCCATGAATACCAACCAGAGCTAAACTCCGCCCCCTGAGGCCTCCGACTGATGAGTAATCTGTGACTGAGCACAAACACAGGAATGTGGAAGGGGGAGGAAGGAGGAGGAGCAGGTGGAGCGGGGGGGGGGGGGGGGGGGGGGGGGGNNNGGGCAGGGAGGGACAACGGTCGTCTCCATTCAACATGTTCTTCCAGTAAATCTCCCTCAACCTGACTCACACCTCTGTCTGTTCACACTGACTGTCAGAGACAGACGGACAGACGGGCGGACAAATGTCAATTAGATGTTAATCTGTATGAGAAATAAAGAAAGAAAATGTGTGTAATAGTCATCCAGTTAAAGCGATCGACATGACTCAGACGGATCCAGTTAAAGCGATCGACACGACTCAGACAGAGTTGCTCATTAGAGGAAGTTTCTACTGTAGGTGAATGATCACCTCTCTGACAGCGTCAGTCTGAACATTATTATCTTTGTAAAGGGTGATTATATGTCAGATTGTACAGGTGTCCCTAATAAAGTGACCCTGAGTGTATGTACAGTACGTTAGGCTGTTTCAGAACTGGACACGTTTGGTTCTCAGGCCTCATCTCGTCTTGTCTCGTCTCGTCTCCCACAGTCGACCAGAAACAAACACAGATACTCTTAATGACTCATTTACATATCAATACTTGTGCAGCCATTAAAGAGGAAGCTCCGTTTCTCCACGCTGGTAACAAGACTGAAACAGAAGCAGAGCAGCTTCACTGACTCACAGCTCAGATTATTCACACTGTCTCTTATTCATTCATTCATTCATCACATGATCCTCATTAATCAGCATCACTACATATCCGATACGTAATCAATGATTTTGATCTTATTGAAACAAATAAAGGACCAGTTTAAAGTGAACAGTAAGTGATGCTCATGATGACTGTGCCAACAGACACTGATCAGATCACTTATTATTTCTTTATCATCATCTTGTTATAACTCATCGTGTCTCATCAGACAGCGTGTTCCTCTTTTATAATCAACAGTTCATGTGTGAGGAAATGATTTTAATGTTTTGGGCCTCTGGACTCTCCATCACTGCTCCTGCTGTTTTCACACCTTCAGTCTTTACATGTTTAATCTAAAGGAAGTGAAACACCAAACTAATAGTCAGCTGTCGGTCAGTGTTGGGTTGTGTGTGAGCGTCCCAGTGTGTGCGGAGTGTCCTGCACTGTTAGTGCGCAGTTCATTTCACATCAGATTTGTTGTTCATGTGCTAACTGGCTAACTAGCATCTTGAATCCGTCCTTTCGGTCTTCCTGTTTTTCTTTGGGAATGATGAATACAGACGATCACTGGCTGAGCTAACCGTAGCTAACTTGTATGTCCATTGTTTGGTCTGTGACCACACAGTGGGTCTCATTCATGAAAAGTGAGTAAATCTGAGTAGATTTGCACATAAAAGCCTACGCTACTAAAAACCTACTCCGGATTCAGGATTGCGCGGGAAACTCAGATTTGATCGTAAACACGTGTGTATGATCATGAATGCCAATCCATTGTAAAGTGACAGCGCGCTCCCGGTAATCAGCAAATGACCACCATATAAGGAGGTGTAGGTGCATCCAGTCGACCTGTCAGTTATGGTGCAAACAAAGAAAGAGAGAGAAAGAAAAAAGAATTTTTCCGAAGCAGAGATCAAAATGATTTTGGGTGAAGTGGACTTAAGAAAAAACATTTTATTTTCTTCAGTTAGTAGTGGTGTGACAGGGACAGGCAAAGCGAAGGCCTGGAGGAAAGTAACAGATGCTGTTAATGTTGTCTCCATGGTACAAAGAACCATGTCAGAGGTGAAGCGTAAATGGTTTGATATGAAACTGGAGGCAAAGAAACGCATAAGCACACACACAAAAATACAACGGTCACCAAACAAACAGAAGATTCATTTGTGGGGTTTTGAATGAAGTGGGAACGGGAAACCAGAGATGTTTTGTGCGTAATGGATAAACTCTAGATCAGTGATGGCTGTCGGAATGTAGAGCTATTTAACATTTATTTTAACAAATGATACGGATAACATATAGCCTACAGCAGTTTGTATGCACTGTCTTCAAATTATTTGAATCTTAATAGCCTAAAGCTCTGTTTTATACAATGTAAATTAAACATTTTTCAAATCAGATTTATTCATTCAAATGATCAAAAAGCCAAAAAAAACAAAACAAAAACAAACAAAAAAAAAACACGTGTTGTCTCAAATAATTCTTTCAGCTGCCCCTGCTGAACCCAGGCACCGAGGCCGAAGAGGCTGTGATCCGTCTGTCCTTATGGATATTTTTATTATCATCATTCAATATGTAGAAAGAACGTGTGATCTATTGAGTCGATTTACATAGATAATTCACAATCATGAACCTAATCTGGATCTTAAACCTGCTAATTGCCAACTAATTTAACTAAATGTGTTACATTTTTAATATTTTGTCATGTTTAGATTACGTGTTTCAAAGGCATCTGTGTATTGTGTACACAACAGAGCGCAGTACGAATTAAAATTGTAATTTCCAATAGTGAAAAGCAATATTTATGTGCTTTACTAAATTTACACAAGCACTACGCATGGTCGGGAGCAGGAGTAGATTTTGTTAGTAGCTACGAAAAGATTGGCGCTACTAAAATATTGATGAATGCGGACATGCACGTAAATTTCCGTCTGCGAACAGTTTACACACTAATTCCTTCTGCTCACATTTCATGAATGAGACCCACTGAGTGTTGGACGGCGGCCTGTCTGTCACTGTTTTCTGTCTCAGGTTCTATTTTTCTTGTACACATGTAACCGGTGGTGTCTGACTCTGCGTTGAGTGCATTGTGTTTGAGGAAGAGACTCAGACGTGGATATCTTTGGAGGCAGTCTCCATTTAATCTGATGGAAGCAGAAAGCAGCATAGATACAAAATCCTCCGGTCAGTAACGTTGTCTTCCATAAAACGTGCCCCTACACAAATTAAATGACACAGAAATATGTTGTAGTGTATCGTAAGCACTTCACAACAAGTTTAAGCTAGCCAGTAAACTTTTAAATGCAAATAACAGAGGCTAAAACACAGAAATTTCTCCCAACTACAAAACCACTAACCTCTCCCACAGAGATCAACAAAAAAAGGGAAGAGGAAAAGGCGTGGAGACACTAGTTACAGAGGGCAGTGTCACACTGTATAGTAAACGTAGGGTTACAGTCTCAAATTAAAGTTCCACATAACTGACTCGGAGGCTTAACATGTCAGGTATTAACTAAAATAAATTAAATAAACTTAAGGTTACACAGATTTTGTGTAATTATAACACAACAACCAATGTACATTTTCCTTTACACATATCACTGCTGCATGACTGACCCTGTTACACACATATTTAATGAACACTGTTGAGAGGTTTAATATCAGCAGGTGAAATTCAGTCAGACTTCCTCAACTGCACAACAAAGTTTGAACGACTGCTTGAGGTGGTTTTTAAACTTTGAGATCACTGAAATAGGAAAGTTTTTTCTTTCCTGTAACATATTTGTTTTGATATCAGATGGTACAGACTCGTCCTGTGCTGCTCTATCTTACCTTCGGTCACAGTGCTGCTACTTACAGAGTCTGGTCTTTTCTGAGGTGGAACACAGTGTCAAACATTGGAGAACAACTTCTTTAAGTGGCCATAAAAACCACAGTGACTGTACTGGTGTTAAAGAGGTTTCCAGTCTGGTGCAGCGCCCAGCGTGTTGCAGCCATCAGTGGATTGTGACAGAAGGCGAAATAGTCAGTCAGACTGGTTTACATGGTCGTTGTGTAACAAACAGAGAACAACAGTTTGTCTTTGTGTGGGATGACACTGAATGCTCCCCCATGAATGGACAACAATCTGCCATTGAGGTGAAAGTCCTGTCTCATAGAGACGTCTGCATGAATGGACAATGATACACATGTAAGGACACACAGAGAGACAGAGAGGCTCTGGACTCACAGATACCCAATAAGCTCTCACACTGCGCTGCTATATTTAAAACACTCTCACTGACTGAGGAGCGTTCACAGCCCGGTGACATCACCCATCAACACGAGGTTAAACCAGCCACACATCTCTGTCAGCTTCTTGTTTCTCCTGTCACATCTGCTCTGACGCACAACTAAGGAGTAAACTTTAACTTCTGTATAAACGTGTGAAAGAGTCTGAATATTTAACAGGAAAAAACTCAACCATCAGTCCTCCGATGTCTAACGAGTCGACTGAAAGAAAAAACTAGTCAAACTCAAAAAAGTGACCACAACTAAAGAAAGACGAACTGAGTTCACATTTTACTATTTCAAATACAGAGTGTACGAGAACAGGAGAGTTTTAGGAGATGGACAGCTCAGAGTGTTAAAGACCTGACAGAGTCTTTACATGTTGACTCCACGTGTTTTTTCAAATGGAGACATCCACTGAACCGTCAGCACGAAGCCGTGACGCTGGGTAGAGCACTGATAATATTAATAACAATAATGGTAATATTTTATTTTATTTACCCGTAGAACTTCTAATAGTAGCCCGGGCTATTATTTTCTTAAATCACTGAATCAACAGGCCCATATTTGGGAAAGGCCTTTAATTCATTTCACACCAAACTTTTAATCAGCAAAGATCAGGAAATATAATCAAACTGTTTATTTAAACCAGAATGAATATTACTGTATATAAATTAGGCTTTAGATAATAAATCAACTATGAATCATTCATTTGATTTAACATCAGAGAGACAGCGAATCAGAGAGAGTTACAGCACCCGACACAACCACACTTTATCCTGTTAAAACAATCCTCACAACTGGGATTCATTTTTATAAAAACCCTTTTGATCCTTGTGATGTGAGGACCCTGACAGACTGAAGGAATGTGAATAATTTACAGGGTAATCCAGGAACAGACACATAATCTGAGGAAGCCTTATACATCTGAAGAACTTCTTTAAAATAAACTACTTGGTAACGAGACCAGGCCTCTAATGGAGACAGAAATACAAAAACAGCCAGTGCCTGAAACGTCACATGTGGTGATACCATTAACATTTCCAAAAGGAGCAGTCTCTGGTGTGCGGACTTGTCTTTGTATTTTTGTATTTGTTCTTCTGTCTAGCACCCAGTATTGATCCCAGTATTGATCCTTTTTGGATGTGTGCTGTTTTTTTGAGTCTCTAACAGAGACAGGCCTTTATTAGTGCAGTCACACCGGGCCAGTAAAAGAGACTCGGCTTTTAATTGAAGTTTTACTGTATTTATTTTTTGATTTAAATACATTTGATTATCATCTGCTCATTTCATGTTTTGTTATCAACATTTCTAAGCAGGACGTATTAGCAGTGGACACTGTGTATGTTCACGGTCAGTCCCTCTTTATAACTTATATTACTGTCTGTGTTAAATAAAGGTTTTACATTTCAAATACCTACACAGGTCACACAGTCACCTCTGTTTATAGACTGAAGCCACAGTGTGCATCTCGGCCTCTAAACTAAAATAAGCAGAGTGTAACTGTGACAGGGCTGACGTCTCTGCTCCTGTTAAACAAACTGTTCACCTGAGTTTAAAGATGAAACCTGTTCACAGGAAACAGGAGGTGTTTTTATTTACTGGGATCAATCTGACCTTTTCTCCTCTTCCGTACAGGCTCTGGAGGAGGCTGCGGCTAACGCAGCAGAAGAAGAACGAAGGCGTCTTCAGACCCAGACTGAACTCCAGGACCGATACAGGACGGACCTGGAGAGAGAGAAAATGGTACGTCACCTTCCACTGAATCATTGCGTCACAACAGGCGGTGGAGCAACATCAATACAACTTCCCTTTTTTTAATATAATGCAGGATGTTTTTATTATTACAGCAGGTGAGTTTAATATTCTGACTGAACATTATCTACAGGTGTGAGACTGAATACTCAACAACATGAAACAGAGTTAAAGTGGAGACACGCTGCAGCTCAGAGTGAAGCTGAAACAGAAGCACACAGGTTATTTTCAGTTGTGTTGACTTCCTGACTCCTCAGATAATAACACACACTTAATAACACACAATTTATAACACGCAGTTAATAATACTACATGTGGTGGTGATGTCTCTATGTACTGACTTGCTCTGTTGTTTGAACAGAGACACACATTGGTGACTGTACGGTCTGTTTGGTAGATGTAACCGATAGGCATCAGTGCTGCACCTCAGGGCCTCTGTGATAATGTCTGCACATGCTCAGTGTTCAGCGTGGATGTGGTGCACCAGCACATCTTCCATCAGTAACGTTATGAGTTGTTCTCAAGATGAGACAGTTTAACTTCATCACTTCAGACATTCAGTCTGACTCTGACAGTGTTAAACAGGCTGAATATAAACTCAGTCTGACTCCGACAGTGTTAAACAGGCCGAACATAAACTTAGTCGGTGGTGCTGTTGCTGACCTCCACATAAAGTATTTATTTACCTGGTCCCACAGGTACGGCAGCAGATGGAGGAGCAGGTGGCCCAGAAGTCCACTGAGCTGGAGCAGTACCTGCAGCGAGTTCAGGAGCTGGAGGACATGTACCGCCAACTGGAGGACGCGCTGGAGGATGAGCGGCGTGCCAGACAGGATGAGGAGGCCGTCAGGAAGCTGCAGGCACGGTCAGTGAAGTTTGTCTTCATACAGGTCTGTTGGACAGGAAACTGTGTGTGCTGATGTGTTCAGACACTGAGGAATAAATACAGAAACATTACAGTGATGTCAGCGCAGGTCAGATTAGTGATTTTACAGATAAAGTCTCACCTTCACACCTGATTAAAAAAAACAAACACATTATTTATTTGTTTGTTGTTAAATGCATCTTGTTGTGCTCCAAGGAACTCTTATTGAGTGATTCTATTTTTTAATCATATAGTCATTAGAACTCTAAAATAAGTTGGTTGTAAACAGCATTTCTTTGAGCCAGCTGACGTCTTGTTACACATGAATGTGTGTGCGCAGATCATCAGGAAGGTGCGACCTCCGCCTCATTCGGAGTCTGGAAAACTTGGACCAGCGGCCATCCTTAAAGTCTGTTAGGACACATACGTACATGATCAACACACATACAAAGAATTACAGAGGTAGATAAACATCCCATGTAGCTGCTGGTCCCCGTCTGCTATCAGCTGATTGAAGCCGTCCACCTCAGATATTACAGTTTATATAAATGTTGACGCCATATTTACAGTCTCATTAATCCCTGAACACGACCCGTCTGTAACCAGACTCGTGTTGTGACTCTGCTCCTCTTATTTTTTCACATGCAGCCAGACGTTGGACATGTACTTCCCTCTCTCCGCCACATTTCCACTCCTGTCCTTCCTTCCTCTGTGCTGACATTAACTTTCCACTTCAAATTTGTCTAACCGCTGCTGAGCCTGTCAGCACTGTGGGTCTGACCACAGAGCTTTTATTAAACCGCCGTGTTAAAAAGACAGCCGTCAGTCTGTTAGTATTTATTAATGAAGGCCATGTACAGGACGCCATCATCCTAACAACCCAACGTACATCACACAGAGGTGTTTAGGTTTGAGTCACAGCTACAGAGTAGATTTCAGTTACATGTGTGGAGACGTAGAAAATAGGAACATGTTTTTTCCCAGTAAGAAACTGAGTGTCATAATATTTTTTATACATGTTGTCATCAGCACTGCTGTAGTTCCTGTGTGTCTGTGTGCTTACACAATGTGTTTACACAATTCTTCATTCAGCTGTGTGATACTAAATTCATACATACAAACAAACAACCAGCAGTGACCTCACCTGTGATTCATTCAGATCTGTATCTGCCTTCATATGAAACATGTTTGATACAGAATATTTATCATTAATCCAGAGTCACATGTTCTTGAACCATGATGTTAAAAACACAGTCCGTGGTTGCTCCACAGCACCACCTGCTGACACACTGACGCACTACAACCACCACTGTTTACCATCAGCTGCTTAATTTTATTTCTAAACTGAGTAAACATTTGTTAAATCCTCTTTCACACATTAGATTTAGATTTTAGGGTTGACATTATTTAATACATGCCTCACTTTAAACGTCTCTAAGCTGTAAATGTTTTAACCATTGTGGTAAATGTACTCACAGTACGTACTGATGGCGGGGGACTGCAAAAATGTTGGGGTTGTATGGTGGCTCATAAAGTCTTCTAACAACTAGTATTACTGCCTGGTGGCTGTATGCAGGGACGCAGGGTACGAGGGGTACACGGGGTACGCGGGGTACATGTCCCCCCCCACAACAACTCAGAGCTCGTTTTCCCAAGTTGTCCTGAACACACCATGAGTGGGAGGTTAAGGTGCACACTTGGTGCTTCTTTTGTTCCCGCCATAGCAGAGACATGCTCCCTCTGTAGGCGCAGAGCAGGGAGGATGTAGTGTGTGTCTGAACTAAACTGTACAGCAAACAACCCAACAAGAGGCAGAAACCCTGCATTCAGTCTTTATATCAAACCATGTGAGTCGAGTTATAGTTAGCTGACGTTAGGGTTAGCTCAGTGAAAACATACTATACCAGCTGAGTGTCACTTCGGATAGATGAGGGTTACTGATGAATTCACGCTCATATTAGACCCACTCTCCTTTATTTGTACTCACTATCTGCATATATATTTTTAATCACTAGGCAGCAGCACTGACAGGCAGGAGGGTGCACAGGTGACGAGAGATATTACGTGATTGTCAGAATTACAGAATTATAATAATTATATTAATATTATTAGAATTATATTTTCTACTCTAAATTTAAAGGGAAATTTCGGTTTATTTCAACCTGTCTCCTATCGTCCTAAATTTGTTTCAAGTGACTAGTGACATAAAAATAATAGTTAGCATGTTAGCCGTTAGCCTAGATACAGCTGGGGCGCATAGTAGCGTCAGACCTGTTAAAACGCAAGTGAATGGGCAACCTTCAAGTGCAAAGTTAGTCCACTAAACAAGCTTTTTTCCACAAAGACCGCCTCATATCGTTAGGATAAATGTCAGAGAACATATAGAAAACGACATGTAAACGTGTTGTGTTACCTTACCGGTGTGCTGCCATGTTTGTTTACCATTTAGCTCGGCTGTATCTAGGCTAACGGCTAACATGCTAACTATTATTTCTATGTCACTAGTCACTTGAAACAAATTTAGGACGACAAGAGACAGGTTGAAATAAACTAAAATTTCCCTTTAAGATGTCTTTGCACACACACACACACACACACACACACACACACACACATCTATGTGTACAGTACAGGCCAAAAGTTTGGACACACCTTCTCATTCAATGCGTTTTCTTTATTTTCATGACTATTTACATTGTAGATTCTCACTGAAGGCATCAAAACTATGAATGAACACATGTGGAGTTATGTACTTAACAAAAAAAGGTGAAATAACTGAAAACATGTTTTATATTCTAGTTTCTTCAAAATAGCCACCCTTTGCTCTGATTACTGCTTTGCACACTCTTGGCATTCTCTCCATGAGCTTCAAGAGGTAGTCACCTGAAATGGTTT